TGACTTTTGCACTAATGCGAATCTCATGAGAGCTGCCCTCTTCAACGCTAACGCTCTTTCTCTCTCTCTCTCTCTCTTCTCTCTCTCTCTCTCTCTCTGCTAAACGGCTAGAGACCTACGGCGAGTGGTTAGCCAGTCGGTGGGCGTACCGCGCCGATAGTGCCGCGGGGAGAGCCATGCCAGATCGCCTGGGCATATACTCTGCTAAATTGCGTGCCGGCCGCATATCTTACCACCAGATAAGTTTCCCCTCCTTCGAACTTTCAAGTTTCGACCTTATCGTGGAGTCTTCTTGAAGGAAGAAGATTATGGAGGCATTTTGATTACTGTTTCAATACAACAATTTTGAACAGAGCCCCATAAAATTTCTTTTCTGATTCCCTCCATGTGCACCACATTTGACAGCTTTTGCTAAGATAACGCCTGAGTAAAAGAGCAATAAAAAAAGTAACACACTCACAAAGTGTAATCTGTTCGAGAGTCGAGAACGGAACTGTCCGATGGTTTCATGGGAATTGGTGCGGAACATAAGACAATTCTCGTCAGCTGGATCATCTTCGACACGACAATAAATTCGAAGCGGGCGGCCAGGGACGAGACCACCATGAGGAGGGAAATGTCTCGGCATCTGAGCAAATCTAATTAAACAACTCGAGGTGAAACTACCCAGCTCAAACAAACTCACAAAGAAAAGATTGTCTTGAGACTCGACGAAGATGGCTATGAGCTGTAGGAGGCGATCCATACCACGAAGTAAGAGGAGAGGTGAGAGTTCTAATGTCGTGTGATTAGGAGCGTTTGACGAACCATGTGGATGTACAGCATCACACGACGCGTTCTGTGGATTTTTGAGTTGAGAGACCTCTCCTTTGCAATCCGATTCACTTCTACGACAGGCGTTCACTGCTGTTTCGAGTTCTTGGGGTTCCGAACTGCAAACTATCGATTTTGGAAAAAAAAAACCAATTCAACATAAACACTGGTTCAACAGACCTTATGGACGATTTCGAGAGATTAGGACTCGGAGAGGGAGTTTGACCATTCCTTCGAAAGTACTCTCTGAAAAATGACGCAAATTTCATCCACACCATCGGTCCGCTTTGCAGAGATTGATACAGGGCCGGTACATATTCAAAATCTTATGACGTTCTGCGCCATCATTTCTAGCAGCTATCTGTCTGAGCAATGACTAAAACTTGAAATGAATGAATGAATGAAAAAAAAAACGAAAAAAAGCAAAGAAAAGTATTGCAATAGAAGGAAAAGAGATAGTAGAAAGCCGAGAAATAGCAAAGAGAAAACTGGAACGTACGTTCGCAAAGCATCCAGTCGTTGGTAACAAGTAGTTAGAAACAGCCGATATTGTGAGCAATCATTGTTGCGGCTGCCTGCAATGGAACAGGTATCTTCACCATCAAAGCTTCAAATGATGGCTATCAAATAACATATACAGCATATGCTCTTACCAAATTCGATTAGCTTCTGCATAACTTCGCGAACAATTTCCTTATTCTCCACAACTTCCAACACTTCCCACATGTATTCTATACATCGAGCACTAGCCTGATATGAAGAAACCGTGGAACAAGGAATGGAAA